GATGTGCAGGAAATCGAGATTGAACTGCTTTTCTGCATCTCTGCTTAAAACACATCCAGATTCAGGAGCTCTATCCTATCCTTTTTGCTAGTGGGACCTCGGCCCAGGGAACGCGTCCATTTAATTAATTATTTGGGGAAAAAAAAAACAAAAAAAAACGGCGCCGGCCAAAATGAAAACAGAAATGCACTCCAGTGGTTTCGTTGGGTTTTTGGCTCGCAGTACAACTCCACTTTGGTGAAGAGGCTCAGAGGTACTCGTGGTTTAAGCAAGGATGAGGATATCCGTTGAAGTTTTGAGCACTGGTCAAGAAGTGAAATTCTACATGAGTTTGCCTATAGAGAGAATCATCCCATGTTCAGCAATGGTATGTTCATGGTTCAGGCAACTATGATTAATGTACCAGTGATTGATGATATGTATGTACTATGTATCTGATTACATGTATGTGACCCTGTTTGTAACAGGGCTGAATATCCGGTCCCACCGGGGGCCCCATCATGGTTCAGGCAACTATGATTAATGTACCAGTGATTGATGATATGTATGTACTATGTATCTGATTACATGTATGTGACACTGTTTGTAACAGGGCTGAATATCCGGTCCCACCGGGGGCCCCATCCCCCACCGGAACCGGGCCGGTTGTACCTGCCGGTGGACCATGCTGGTTCCCCGCCGGTTGCAATTTGCGCAAATCGATGGTGGGGGGCTTCAATTTTTTTTTGGGGCCGGTAGGCCTCCATGCGGGTCGTGGAGGCCTCTCGGTCCCAAAAAAAAAAATACCGGGTCCAGTAGGCCCGCCAGACCCCACCTCCCAGCCACCGACCCCACCACCCCGCCTCCTGCCTTCAGCTGCTTTCGAGCAGACCTACCGTCACTTCGACACTTCGTCGAAAGTGAACGAGGTCGAGACAGCGTCAGCCCCACCATGTCCCGATGCCGCCCCGCCCCGCCGTCCATAGGTCAAGGTGAGTCTTCCTTTGTTCCTCTTTTTCGTCTTCATACTATCTTCTTCTTCTTCTTCTTCTTCTTCTTCTTCTTCTTCTTCTTCTTCTTCTGTCTTTTTCTTCTTCTTACTATCTTCTTCTTTTTCTTCTTCTTCTGGCAGAGAAACCAGTGGGCCCGAAGCAGAGAAAGAGAGAGAGAGAGAGAGAGAGAGAGGGCAAAGGTTTTCTTCCTCTTCTTCTTTCTATCTCCCTCGTTTGTATTCATAGCCAAACTTTTTTCT